GATGCAATGAAAATTTATGTCTACAAACTGAACTTTTCTACGTTCATAGATTTTTGTAAATAACGAAATTTGAATTTTGTAATTTGCAGAGGCATGCCCATAACGGGTATTTTGAGGGTTAAGGACAAGCAAAGTAGCAGGAAAGCGGCTAAGCAGAAACCCATTATAGGAAGCACCAGAAATATTCGCTGATTCTGCTCGGAACGACGATCTACACTTCACCACTCGAAGGGCTGCCGAAAGATGAAACACATAAGATACCACTCTTCCTGGGAAGTCTTGAAGAAAATCACCCACTAAACTATTAAAAGCTAGGCAACACTCCTCAAAATCTTCTCAGATGAGGGGCACATCATCCGCGGGTCGAACCAGGGTTAGACCAACATCCAAAATTATTAAAAATTAGTTTTTTTGATTGCGACCGCCTATAGGCAGGGGGATGTCAAGCCCTCCGAGGGAATTTTTGACAAAAGCTCCACAAAAAAGAGCCATCGGCTGTTCGGAGGCGGCTTAGCACATAATGTAGATCCCTCCATTTTGCTGGAAAAACATCAAGACCCATACCCAAAATTGGAGGAGAAGTCACTTCGGCGGTTACAAAGCGAAAATTATGTTATATTAAGTTGAAGAAGTCGCACAATAAAGAGCCACATTTTCTGAAATCTTACTTGGCTCCGAACGACACTCAACTTACACACGAACTTGGTCCAATTGAGGTCATTTTTTAATAACTCCATATGATTTCAAGGTTGGTAGATCAGCTGCTTGGCTCAGCAGGAAAAATTGCCGCTCTTTATAGGCTCAAAAAATCTCATTTTCTCACCAAACTTTTTTAATGTTTAACTGACTGCCAACAAGTTCAAGAGGCTTTCATAAGAATTCGTTCTGCTTTTTCAGGAAAGTTTACCCACCAAAATTTTTTTTTTTTTTAATTTTAGCCATTTAGGACTTAGGGATTTCAAATGAAACCCTCTCCCAAGCCGTCGGACAACCGTCATTGTTTATTCGTTTGAAAGTACATAACCGTTTGCATATGTGAACCTTTTAATGCTGTTACTTATGTCTGTTTGTACTTTGCCCATAATTATGAGTGCGTTTATGTATGTAAGTTTATTTGGTTGTTTGTTTTTGTGCCCGTAAAGCGACCGTTTATGTGCACACTGCTTAATTGGGTTAAAATTATTTTGTTTATTGTATGCGGCAGTGTTGTAAAAATGGGCTGCGCCCATAAATTTCGGCTGTTAACAAACAAACACACACACACACAAACACATGCATTCATTCAATACTTTTTGCACTCAACAATGGTGACATGCGTGTGTGTACGTACATATAAAAATGTATGTACGTGTGTGTGTACATAAATGCCTTTGTGCATTTATTATGCTTTAAATAAACGCATAAAGTATGTCAGTTATACGTTCCAGAGGCATACCGTTATCCACCCACACCTATACACTTATATTGTGAATATTCAAAAAATAACAAAAATTAAGAGATGTATTATGCGAATATGAGAATAACAAAAGTTCGATCAGTTAGTGACTTTCAATTTGTTTTTGTTAAATCTAAAAATACAAACTTCCTTGAAATTACTTTATTAGTCTTTTTTCCATATTTTAGAACGATCGGCTGAAATGGAGGCGAGAAAACACAAGATGCCTGCGGATAGGTCAGGCGAAACTCCACCACCAAGGCAAACAGAAATTCGCCATGTGATTCTCCTCGGATTTCGACGTAATTTACAGCCAATACAAATATTCAGTAAATGTCAACGAACGATTGCACCGTCTTTAAGTACGATTTCTAAGTGGTTCCGAAGTTTTCAAGCCGGATTTTTTTCCGTAGAGAACGAGTCTCTAAAATGTCGAACAAAATTTTCCAATGATGAGGTCACTGTAGCGCTGGTGAAGTCCACAATGGACGAAAAGCCACGCTTGACCCAAGAAATGATTGCTAATGAATTTTGCTTGAGTGCCATGGCTGTTTAGTGAATATTAAGTAATCAATTGGGATACCATCGAAATTCAAAAAAGGCCCAAAAAAAGGCTCGAATGCATTTTGCTCAATTTTTCCTAAACAAATTCGCAAATGGCCAGTCTAGCAACTTTCATAAAGTCGTTACTGGTGGCAAATCTTGGTTATATGAGTTCGATCCAGAAACAGAACAGCAGACCATGGTATGAAGCCCAACAGGAGCAAACCCACCCGTAAAATCGAATCAACAAAAGTCAGCAGCAAAAGTATACGTCACGCGATCTAAAAGCGTAGCTGCTACTTCACTGGAAAAGGATCAGACGATAACTGCAAAATAGTACACCGAAGAGTGCTTACCGAAAGTTTTCAAAAACTTATTGAAAACCACTAAGAAAGTGGACTTGCGGCGCCACTTCTACATCATGACAACTCGTCATCCCACACTGCTGAAATAATTTCCAAAAATTAAAAATCAATAGCGATTATGTAGAGAAAATAAAAAAGGATAAACATTACGAATAATTAAAAAAAAAAACATTTTTTTGTTTTTTTTTCTGGTCAACTTACCGAACTTTAGTTAGTCCCCTGGCATGTTTATCTACCCTACACTCCCCGATTCGCTGTGCGATTTTCGTTAAGTGTTTCTGACATTTTCGGCATTTTTTTTATTGTTGAGAAAATGCATTTCGCACTTAATAGATTTATCGATGGGCGTTAATATTTCGTGCATAAAGGGAAACACACACACACATACTTGCATACATATGCATACATTTATATTCATTTATTTATAGATAACGTTTTACTTTTATGTGTTATTTCCGGTGTTAGGAACGGTGGAATTTTACACACGACAAACACACACATTTATGCACACATATATATGTATGTAGTATGTAAAATGCTAGATTAAGGCTGCAACTACCCAACGCGCGTACCAGCCGTCCATAGTAATCTATCTTATGAGAGCGCCATGTAAACACAAAGTTGTCACCGATTTACCATAGCGTTGCTGACGTTTGTGTCGCAGAAACCAACGAAGTTTTGATTTTTCCGTAAAACCGGCTCGGCTCATTTTTCGTTGCTATACAAGGTTGCCAGTATAGCCTTTCTTAAAGTAACATTAAATAATCGAAGATAATGCGTAGTTTTGTTCAAAAGAAATGAAAACTAAATGCGTAACTAATTATTTGTTACTATATAGATCATGTATATTTGCCTTGTGTTTATGTTAAAGCAAATAAATTATGAAATTCGTTGACGAAAATTATGAATTTGTTCAAAAGTGTGCAAACACACAGGCAGCTGGCAACATTTCGCCGCTCTCAGCGGCGTCGATAGCTCGTGTATGTATTTCACTACTAACGTCGTCAGTTATGGACGGCTGGAGAGTGAGTTGGGTAGTTGCAGCCTAAGTATTTAGCGCCACGTCCAAGTATATACAATTTGGTATTAAAAGGAACAAATTTCATAGAAAAATGAGAGATTAAAAAATAAATACTTATACATACATATATATGTATTTATTTTTATATTGAGCCAAAATCATGACACGATGCATAATTAATATTTTGAGCATAATCTAATTTGTTTTTGTTCTTGAAGAAACCTACGTAGCTCTTAGTTTTTCCTAAAAGTTGCTACTGCCTACACCCCTTGTTCCTTCCGGCGGAGTAGAGCTCTTTATCCTCCTTTACTTCCACCAGCTGTTCAAGAAGTGAGATGGAACCGAACATTTTCAGAGCTGTACGACAGTACCTAGCAAGCACTGCTTCTTATTTACTTAAACTTTGTCAAGAGAGTATGGGAGTATGTGTAGAAATGCAAAGAGGTGTGGAAAGTTTTTGATTACCATTCACCTGGGCGTGACTAGAAACGATTCTTTTTTATATGGTGTGCTCCAGGTAACGAACAAATTCACCTGCGGAGACCCACTACATGCAGAAATCTACTCCAATGAAAAATCACACAAAGCTTCGAATAAGAGACTCTACTTTTGAGGATAATCAGTGTAAGTGTATAGATATGTTTCAAGGGCATGCACATGGAATATTCGGTCCCTTAATTGAAAATGTGCCGTTGCTGCTCAGCTGGGTGATGTCGTAGTAAAGCTAAAGGCTGATATCACTGCTGTTCAAGAAGTGAGATGGACGGTACAAGGACGGAAGATGGTGAGTCCTTGTGAAACATGGCGGTCGGCTAAAAGCATGCCGGACGATGTGAAAAGGTGGACTCCTCAGTCTGCACCATTTACCGTAGGCTAAGCCTCCTCAATATCGCATATAAGGTCCTGACGAGCGAATTGTGTTAACGACTAAAACACACCGTCAGCAAACTGATTGCACCTTGTCAGTGTGCTCGAAGAAGTCTTTCCCATTACTGACTGTAGTTCCCATGCTTTCCAACGTCATTTTACAAAGTCTTGTAAGTTTTGCGGAGATACCAAATGTAGACATAACTGCGTAGAGGCAGTTTGGAAAGATTGCGATAATCTACCGGATCTGAAGGTATACTCATAGCTATGTATATCATTTGGCATTCGTTGTAGGCTTCAATCTCCATCACAATAAACTCGATTAGACTTTAAATGCGTAGGCTCACCATTTCTTTGGTCTGGGCAGAGAACACTCGGTTTTAAATCGTGGATGCATTCACGCAAATGCTGATGTGTGTACCCTGTCAGCGCTTCTGCAATGTGGGCAATTGCTATTCATAAATCATAATGGTAATAGACATTCATTCTATAGTCATCGTATGAAGTTTCGTCTTCACTACCTCCGGTGTGACACTTCGTCCTCTCTGTTTAAATTCTTTAAAAGACATAAATTACGAATGATATTGAGATTGCAGTTAAATGTATTTCACGAACGCTTTGCAGCGCCATCTATCGTGAATGATTGAAATTATATTCGTGGTTACAGCCCTGAAATAATTTTTCGTGATAACAGCGGCAACGTTCGTTAAAACAGCTGTTCGCAACTGATTGTTGATTTTTATTTTTTATATTTTGTTATTATTTTTTGACATTTCTTAGATTTTTTGTCGTGTGGGGTGGATTTTGTTGCACGTTGGGTGGGCTAGTAAGTTTGGCCATTATTTTGGTCTGTAATTGCGGGTGGTTTACAGTTTTAGTAAGATTAATGCAAAGCTAAAATAATAATTCTACGTTTCCAATAATTTTACGTTTAGCAAAACCTTATTTTGTTTACAAAAACATCACTATTAAAAGCTTCTAACGAAAATGTTTCGACTGCTGGCATCTAATTGCAAGTACGAATGTGAATTCAAAGTACAAAGCGGCGCTTTTTAAGTGTGATTATGTCATTGTGCTTTCTGTTAAACGATTTTTAATTATATTTTGCAGTCGCCATTTAACGCAACAATTGTCGAAATATAATCAAGTGCCTCATACGCAACCAAATGGCATACGCGATTTTAGCGGTCACTTAAGAAATGCCAACAAACTTTTGCGCGTAGTCGAGCGACAGGCTAGCCGAGCATCGGAGGTTGGGGGAAAACAAATTTTAAATACACGGCTTCTACTGTTGGGCGGCTGTGGCGTATCACTGGGATTAGGTGCACGTACATACCTAGCATTTACGCGGCAAGTGCAATGCGAAGGAAATAGATTAGCTGGAGTTTTACAGAAGACATTGCAACAGGAAGATAACAAATTCGATTGGAGGCGCTTTTGGACATATTTGGAACCACATGTGTGGGAGTTACTTGGAGCTATTGCTGTAAGTATGAGTGCTGATCATATAAGATTCAAGGCTTTTTTTAACTATCACTAAAATATCGCTTCAGGTAATCTCTTTTACGCTTTAATCAATAAGTGATTTGATAACGTGATTTAATAAAAAAGAACTATAAACTTAATGTGATATTGGTTTACCTTATCTCAGATATTAGGCTATGTATTTCCCAGTATTGATTAACTGCATATACAGTTATAAATTATGAAATGTCTAGCTTAACAGATGTGATATTATTTTATTAACTAAAATATTTGATACATATTTTCCACTTAGGCTGCTCTCATCGTGGCATTCATCAATATCCGCATTCCTAACCTGCTCGGAGATCTAGTCAATACTCTTGCGCGCTACGCTAATACCTACGTCAAAGATCCGCTACACAACTCTTTCTTCAGCGATGTACGTCGTCCTGCAAGCAATTTGCTTAGTTTGTATTTTCTGCAATCGGGTTTCACATTCATTTACATCTACCTGCTAAGTCGGGTTGGTGAACGCATTGCCGCCAAACTGCGACAAGATCTTTTTAAACAAATAATTCTGCAAGATATCGCGTTTTTCGATGCAAATCGAACCGGGGAATTGGTAAACCGTCTTACCGCCGATGTGCAGGATTTTAAGGCGTGCTTTAAGCAGTTCTTCTCGCAAGGTTTGCGCAGTATGGCTCAACTTGTAGGCGGTGGAGTATCACTATTCCTCATATCACCGCATATGGCGGCCATAGCGTTGGCTGCGGTGCCAGTGGTTGTAGCATTCATGTCATATCTGGGGCGGAAGTTGCGCAACTTGAGCAAAGATGCACAAGCGCAGGTAAATATCATTATGACTTTTATGCTAATTATACATATTAATCTATCAATCAGTCTGAACGCGCCACTGCCGTCTGTGAAGAAGCACTTTCCAATATACGCACAGTACGTTCAAGCGCTTGTGAGTATCGTGAAATGGAGCTATTCAAGCAGGAAACAAATGAAGCAGCGAGACTGGCGCAAGAGTTGGGTTACGGCATTGCCATATTCCAAGGACTGACCAACTTCTTCCTTAATGGATTAGTACTTACCACGCTTTTTATGGGCGGTCATCTGATGTCTACCGAAAGTCTCTCCCCCGGCGCTTTGATGGCGTTCCTGGTAGCGTCACAAGGTGTGCAGCGTTCACTTGCTCAAGGTTCGATACTATTGGGGACTATGATACGCGGCATGACCGCTGGTTCGCGCGTTTTTGAGGTACTGTTGGTTGTATTTGCAATGTGCAAAGCGCGACTGTGACATATTTTCTTTCGTTTCTTTAGTACCTCCAACTACAACCTAAAGTAGAATTATTACGAGGCTATGAAATTCCACCGAAGCATCTTAATGGTGAAATTCGTTTCGAAAATGTATCCTTCGCATATCCTTCAAGGCCAGATCATGTAAGTAATATAAAATGGACGATACCACTCACCAAGTTATAACTAACGTTCTTACCACAGATTGTGTTAAAAGACTTCAACTTGATATTGCGTCCCGGACAAACAGTGGCACTTGTTGGCGCTTCAGGCTCTGGCAAATCTACTGTTGCGGCACTTGTGGAGCGTTTTTATGAACCAACATCGGGTAATATCAAACTAGATGGCTACAAACTCTCCGACATAGCACCATATTGGCTGCGTGGAAATGTGCTCGGTTTCATCGAGCAACAACCAATACTCTTTGCGACGACAATTCTTGAAAATATTCGTTACGGCCGTCCAGGCGCTAAAGAAGTCGACATTTATGCCGCAGCAAAACTATCGCAGTCACATGAATTTGTTAGCGCACTGCCCGATGGCTACGCCACCAATGTTGGAGAACGTGGTACCCAATTGAGTGGTGGCCAACGACAAAGGATTGCTATTGCGCGTGCACTGTTGAAAAATCCCAAAATTTTAATCTTAGATGAGGCGACCAGTGCGCTCGATGCGACTAGTGAGGCCGAGGTGCAAAAGGCGCTAGATACGGCGGTACTTAATCGTACAACTTTAGTAATAGCCCATCGGCTATCGACCATAAGAAATGCTGATCTGATTGTGGTTATGGAGCATGGCCGGATAGTTGAGGTATATGCATAAATATGGTACTAAAATATTAAAAAATAATAATAATAAAATATTTATTTATTTTCTTCAATTTTACAGTCGGGTAAACATGAAGAGTTAATGGCTAAACGTGGTCTATATTATGATCTGGTTCGCCAACAAGAACGCCGTGCGGTACAAGAACCGCCAGAGGATATAAAAAACACTGCCAGCGTTGAAGAGAATAGTTTTACTGCCAACACCAATCGCCCAAATATGCAGCATGGATAGAACTGGCATATCGAGTTATGAACACTAGACGACAATACCTCTAAAAATTCTCCCCTCTGTTCTTCACTTACTCATGGTGTTACGTTAAACTATTTATTTCTGTACTTACTAAAAAGGCATGTAATGTATTATTTGGGTTTATTCCTTATGATTCTTTTCTATTGGACTTGAATTTGAATTGTGTCTATATTCAAGTGGGAATAACTAATTGACTACTGAAATGAATTATATTTAAGCCGAAATAGCAAAGTAATTGTTAATAAGAAAAATAATTGAACAATTGTTGATAATAAAATTATTAAATTGTTAGTTAAACAACATATATTTAAATCAAGCAAAATATTTATCCAAATTTTTTTTTAAACTAAATATTTTTGAATTATGTAGATTCCTGACACACAAAACTCCGCAAGTTTATTGTGAATGGTTGGTGTGTTGTTATCATCCATTCAGTAAGATCTGGCATCACCACCACCATTGTGTCGTGTCTTCGACAATTCCTGGCTGAATTCACTGAAATGGATAAAAATCCTTGTTTTTTCTGTAAAAAATAATTACAATATTGAATAAAGTTGTGTCGCCAACTGTGTCGTGTTTTGAATAATAAGGTAAAAACAAAATATCCATGCGAAAAGCTGTAGTTGTTGCGAAAAACGTACAATTCGGAGTAGTTTTGATTAGGTGCTGAGCTGCGTATGAATGCAAGCGTAAAAAAGAATAGCAATTTCAAAATTTATTTAACCAAAAATAAAATAAAAAAATGAAATTACTTTGAGTTGGTGTGCATATTTGCAGGCTTTCTGCATAATGTTATTTCGCTTATAAACATGCTGGTTTAAAAATAAATGAATTGAGAAAACCAAAAAAACTCAAAATGGACCAGTTCGCTAACCCACACGTTACAAGTGCAAGCACTATACAGAGAAATGTAAATGAATTGTGGTGTAATTCGAGCTACAAATATATATATCTAATATAGAAATCCTAAGAGGACTTGAGAAATTGGAATGCTTTGGAAATATGTGCCGGATTTTAAGCAAGATTTGTTTAATTGCTTTCCCCTTGCCTTAAGCTTATTTCATTTATTGCATTCTCCATTTCTGATCGCTTTCTTTTTTCCCTACACTATTGTGAATGTTGCTGTTTTTTTGTTTTGTTATATTTGGCAGTTTTTAAGCTGTTTAAGCAGTGTCAAAATTCATTCATGCTGTCTATTGTGAAGCAGTTACTTTCAACTTCCAATTGCTTCTATATGACATTCTCTTTTGTATGGCAAAAAGAGGAAAATTTAGTGATTGAACGAGTCAACACGTACGCTCGCGCCGCTATAACTTTTCGCATGGAATTAATTATGTGTTTAAAATATTGAGTAAATAAAAAAATGTAATCAGAAAATTATGTGTTTAAATTGAGAAGCAAATTTGTGATATATTTTCTCAAGAATTTGTGTTTTCTATTCTAAAATCTTTCGTATCTTGGGTGCTAATCGCGACCATCTTAGCATTTCAGTAATAAAAAAGGAAAGCGCACATCAGTTTATATATATAAATACATATACATAAATTTAATATTCAAGCATATATATGTATGAAGGCATCAACAAGCATTCAATGTGACCACATTAAAAAGAAAATAGTGTAAATAAATTATTATGAATTATTTGTGTAGTGTATATACCTAATTACAATACTTACATATATACATATGCGCATACACAAACTTTGAAGAAATTAATAAATTACAAAGCAACAGCCAATTATCCATACAAAGCCAACACCCCAAATTCAACAGACAACACAGCAAAGCAACAACGACAATAACACCAAAGTCAACTTATAAAAATCACATACAAGTATTTCATTGCATTGTTTGGTAAACAAACCAGACCCAACACCAATCAATTAAAAAAAAAGCAGCAAACAGCGGCGAGGTCCGTATCTGCACATACCCAGCGCTGCGCATTCCTTTGGTATAGCACAACAAAACTGCAACAGCAGAAACGATTTTTCTTTTTTTGTTTTTAAGTGTTGTAATCGTTGTTGTCGTTGTTAAAATGGGCAATTGTTTGAGTTCCGAAAAACAGGATGTTACTAAAAGCATTGAGTGCACGCCTAATGTGCCCAATGTAGATGGTGTTGGCAGTCAGCCGGCCGATCAAATTCGCGTTGTACAACAGCAGGAACAAATTCGTCAAGTACCACAAATACCCGAAAATGAAATTTCAAATGCCAATGCAAAAATATTCGTAGCTTTGTACGATTACGATGCACGCACAGATGAGGATCTAAGTTTCCGTAAGGGTGAACACTTGGAGATTCTGAACGATACACAGGTGAGTGATGGGCATACATTTTTTTCGCAATATTATTATTATTATAGTTTTGGAGCTAGATCTTTTCGTAGACAAAACATTTGAAAAAAAACATGTAATTTTGAGCGCATACGATTTTAAATATATGTAGATATGTGTATTCATGCACGTTTATGTATTAAGTTATGCGTCATCATACATTTATGACTCAATTGTCTGGCAGATGCATAAGAATAAGGCTGGTGGGCTAGCATCTGCATGCAATGTGTGAATACAAGTATTTTTTAAAGTTTGAATCTGAAATATTTATCAGAATTTGTTGTATAAATTTGCTTTAACATTATTATGAATAATTCGTTGATTTTGGCGACTATCTTATCTTTTTCGTGTGCTTAAATATCTCAGTATCGGTTAGATAACATCAATAACAAACAAACGAATTTTATTTAAAAGCAAATCAAATTCGTAAGAAATATGCTTAGAGAATTTGGGGCGCATTTTTTCATTAAAATATATTTCGTGGTGAATATATAATTTTTGAATAAACAGTAACCGTGTAAAAGTAATAATACATATTTTTCCACAAAAAAAAATAATAATTTTTTCCTACGCTTTGTATCGTCCTGGTTTTGTATTGTTCATTTTCCAATAAATTTTTATTTATTTTACAATTTTATTTTATTTATTACAATTTTATTTTACAACTGCTTCTACGAAGCACCAAACAATTGCACTTTAAAGTGAAGAAAAATCCTTATAATTACATAGTTATGTGTAAAAAAAAATGTATTTGCATGAAATTATAACAACTATTTTGCTGTTTTTACATTCGAACGCAAAGTACTTTGAACCGCAAAATAAAATTAAAATTTGTTTTTTTTTTCTTTTCCACAAAACTGACGTTGTAGAGACGACGCTAGTCGTGTTTAAAGTAATTCAGTTTGTTGATTTTTATTGATTGTCTGTCTGCCTGTCTTCTATGTATGCGTGTGTATTTGTGTTGCTAGACTTTGTGCGATCTGTTGGTAGCATTGACTGGTTACTTGTGTGCAAATAAAACATATTCAGGTTGGTGTAGTAGGCGTGGTGGGTGTGAAGATCCAAATGCAATTTTATACAAGAAACACACACACACGCAGCAGCAATATATCTGATGTAGTTATAGTTGTTGTAATTGCGTTGTCTGCAGTGTTTCGCATGTGCGCTAGTGCAATTATCGCATAATCAATTTTTCTATTCATTGAACGTTGCACTGACGTGTGTAAAGTGGTTATTGAGTTGGTGTTGTTGTTGCTACTTCTACTTGCCTACAATTTAGTTGTATTCTCCTTTTTGCCTACCGGTTTCTTTTAACGGCTTTAACATGCTGCATTTTTCAAATAATTTTGTTTAGCTGTGATGCACCAGCAGCGTTTATATTTTTACGCTTTCAATATTTTCATTTATTTATTTATTTATTTATTCCTTTACTTAACCGACCAGTTAGTCAGCCGCTATTTGCTATTGGCGCTTTGGGCGCGCTGCACTGTTGGAAACATGCATTGATTCATTCAGCTGCAGTGAGTGATTTTGTAGTTGCTTTTGTGTAAAATTCAAATTACTGAATGTAATTACTTTTAATATAATACAATGCAGCTGCTTTACTTAGTTGTGGTTTGCGGTGACCTTTTACGTGTGATTTTTCAGATTTCCTTTCTTTATTTATTTGTTTTTTTTTTTGTTTGAGTTCTTTTTTACTGTAAATTATTGTGATTTATTATTTCAACTTTGTTTATTTCTATTCTTTCTATTATATTACTTATTGTGCATTTCTCACACTATTTAATATTCTATTATGTATTCCATAAATTTTTTACTATTTATTTTATTTATTAGCTAATTTAATATATTTTCTTAAATATAAGTATTTTAATTTTTTTTTATTTAATTATACATTTTTTTTTTTAAATTGGTTTATTCTATTTACTCTAAAACACTGTCAAAAATTGATTTTCTTTAGCCTTGTGTAAAAACATATATAAATCTTGGTTGTAAACGGACTTTACTGAGATTTTTTTACAAAAAAAAAAGAACAAAACTCTTAATAAAAATATGCGAAAAAAAGATTTTAAAATAAAAAATTATAAATTATTAATAATGGAAATGGTTTTGATAGTGTTTAGTTTAATTGATAATTAATGTATAATTAATTCGGAATAAATATTTGCTTATGAAAAGACGTTTTTTTTAAATAAATTTGACTGTACGGACAGTTTTATAAAACATTTTTTCCGGTTACTGAAAATACGTACATATATAGAAAAAGTAATTCTTCCAGTGTACGGACAGCCTAATTGATTCTTTATTCCAAATTTAAATATTATTATTAATAAAATTATATAGTTCCTAAGTCCCCTTCCCATGATCTTTTAAGAGTAAAGCTTTAGAGTTTCCACATTCATAATAATAAAAAAACCGAATTAACGAATATCTTCTTTCTTAAAAATAGAACCTTAAATATAATCAAAAAAAAGTAAAATAAAATTGAATGTGAGAATAAATTAATTTTTTGTTTTTAAAATATTTCAAACATTGTTCTATAACGTTGTATAGATATCCCGCAGATAGATTACACAAAAGTATGTCAGGTACTACTCCTTATTTTAAGCATCCGAAGAAGGTGAGGAGATATACCCTCTCCTTTTGGTTATATGATCAGACATTTAGAGGCGGAGCAGAATTTTGAAGACTTTCTTACGGCCAACAGAGGGACATCACTTACTTTCAGAGAAGTATCAGTGCCAACGGCACACACCAAATATATTGTTTGACAAAACTTCAAAGCTTCTTGATACACCGTTATTGAAAATATGAAAATATACAGAAGCAGAAGCTTTGCGAGTTTTGGAGACTGCACGGGAGTTGCCTATAAAAAAATTATTTGCTTTCATTGGAGTGTTATATGCACAAGTGCCACGTGTCATGTCAGGGAAAAATTCTATCCATTTCCCACCTGTGGAACTCGAAATGGGGTTTTCCCTTTTTTTTTTTTAAATGCAATGAATAGGAACGGCTTCTCAGAAATTTTGAGATTTCTGCGTTTCGATTACTCTCATTTCACCTCAAAATTTATGAAGAAGAAAGGGGAAATCAACAAGAATGAATATTAAGTAGCTCCAGGAAAAATGTCAAATGTCAAACAGAAACAAGCTTTGTAAACATGCTTTTTCATAGCAAAGAAAATTGTCTTTAATTTTAGACGAAATCAGAAATGATATTGCTACTTATTTTCTTTAATAAATCAAGAATTTTTTACGAAAAAAAATATGTATGTTTTATAAGGGTTCAAACGAGCACCTATGGCTCGATTAAGTATAGAAAAATGCCGGTACATTTAGTGTTACAAAAATTGTAAAGTTTTTAGTTATAGTAATATGTAAATTATTTAAATTATTATATTAAAATTTCTGAATACTTCTAAAATCTATTTGTTTGTTTTTATAACCATTGGTTAATTTTTATAGTCCTATCAAATTAAAATATCCAAATTACTAACACCGTTCAAATGGAGCATTTATTATACAGTTGTTCTCACATTTTTGTAGTTAAACAAAATTTCTTAACTGATTTTAATTATATTCGGTCTCGGGTCCACTTCCCGAAAGAAAAACTGTTCCACATTTCAATTCATTCGAAGAGTTACTGACTTACATCTGTACCTTATTTCATATAAATCAAAGAATTTAAAAATTACCTCGATTATTTCAAATAGATCATCCCCAGGTGCACATTCCGGAAAACCCTTTCTTATCCTTACATACGTCAAAAACCTTCAATAAAAAAATAAAAAATCAGCAGATTCTTTATCATTTCAAAAATAAATGATTAATCAATTAATTAAATAAAAATCTCCCAAATATTATTATAAATTAAAATTAAATATTTAATTAATCGATGAATATGAATACAATATATGTTTAGATGAAAACTTAGCTTAAAGAAACTATGAGATGTGCATTGCTGCTCTTTGTTTACTTAATTATTTTTTTTTTTTAAATTAGTAATAGCGCACGCGCAAGAAAGCAACAATTGCAAACTGAAAACATATAAACTTTTTACTTTACTAATATATGTATGTAGGTATGGGCCTTTCAACCAAAAGAGGTTAACAATATAGCAAATTTTTGTGGTTGTTTTTGTTGTTGTTGTTGTTGTTGTAAATTGAAAATGGAAAGTTTGAAAGCATTTCGTTTGCAATCAAACAACATTCACATGTGCTCAAACTTTTGTGTATGTACGAGTGTGTATGTATGTAGATGAAAAGTAATATATATGTATATTATTGTACATACAAGCGCTTACATGCAAGCACATTGCAGCTTCTTAACCTGAATATTTGTGCCTTTGCAAACTAAAAGCATTTCTCTGCAGTAAAAAAAAAAAAAACAATTAAACAAGCAACAACAACAGCAGCAAAATACTTGTGGTACTTTTTGTTTTCATTTGGGTTTTGCTGGCTCTTTTTGTTTTATATTATTCTATTTTTTTAAGATAATAGAAGAGGCATAATACATATATTTTATGAAAATCCTAGCAAAAGATTGCACCTATGAGTACATAAA